GGGAACGGAGCCCTGGGTATCAGTTCTCCGGAGACTCCTCGGGCAGGGGAGAAGCCTTCATCGATTTACTCGTCTTCATGCTTCCTGAAACGAGTGGGTTTTGTTTGTTTGTTTGAGTAGCAAATAAGTGGAAGCAGCTTTAGGTAGAAATCACCGCAAAGTTCGGTCTCCATTCCCGGAGAAGCCTCTGGTGTCCTGCGGGAGCTGCGATCCTGCTAGGTTAGGGTCTGATGCCTCAAAATGAGTCAGAAGATTGGTGGATGGGTCAGTTTTTTGAAATATCCTCACCTCTATGTGATGCTATATATTACTGTATATATATTGTCATATCCCCCACCCAGTGCATCTCTCTCCCCCCTTGCTCATGCTGACCTCCATTCTGCTTCTTCACACCTTTTACTGAGGGTGGAAGAGCCACTTCCCACAGATAGCTCAGTCTTCCTTAGGCAGTCTTTACCCTTCTCTCTTTGTGCAAATGTCTGAAAAACTATTTCATCTCTTGCTAATGAGCTGGTGCCAAGCCAGTTCCTTAAAATCATTTTTCTGCTCTAATGCTCTTTCACATAATGGTGTGTAATCTTCTTGTAGTAGCTCCGTGTTTCCATGTGAATGGCACACCTCTCATTGCTGCCTGTTCCCGTGGCACACACAGCAGCCTCGCCCTCGCTGAGCAGCCCCTCTGCTGTATGAGCACTGCTCTCAGCTGGTGGCATCGCCACAGTCTGCCCAGCCTACACAGAGACCTAATAATGAGCCTGCATCCAAATATCAGTTGTTGTGCCTTGCTTCCACTGTTCACATCCTTACTAGAATCCATTGCAGGCATAAGAAAATCTCAGCAGTCTGGGATTTTTGCATTGCAAACTTTCAGCTCTACCCAAGGATTACAGTTCATATCTGCAAATGAGTGAGAGGAATGAAAATAGTTCAGAAGGATAGGCTCTTCTAAAAAACGTTTTCTTATGTTACAAATGTTAAGGGAGAAGTTGCTCCTGTTGCTTGATTTGGTTCAAGTGGGCTCACTGCACCCCATCACACCCCTGTATCCTTAAGACCATGAGGGTGCACATGAGGTGTCACATCCCACTCATTGTATCCCCATGGGATCTCCATGCACCAGGCTCCCAGGACACCTCACTGCTCAGCAGCCAAGCCTTGGGGCTGAGGTCCCATCACCTCCCCAGGGGCTTGCTTTGGGTCACGGTCCAAAAAGAGAGGAGTCACTGACACTGTTCCCCACTGCAGGTCCTGGCATCCCTTTCTCATGGCTGCAGAGCAGATGGGCACATACCCAGGAGGTCAGAGAAGAGGAGACAGGATGTCTGCACGTGCACCTTGTGCCATGCCGAGTGTGAACTGGCTGCTCTCGTTTAACCACTCTGCCCAAGGACCTCTTCACCCAGGTAATGCCTCCAACCACTGTCTCACATGCACTCGCTTCGTGTGCAACCTGTAGCATGTGGCTGTGCTCCTCTTCACAGTCTTTCTCAGCGGGTGTTAGTAACTGAACACCCACAGTAGCCTTCTATACCTTCTGTAATAAAGGAAAAAACAACACTTGTGGCTAATCTTCCATAGATTTCCAGACCACAGCATGGGGCACGTCATGTTTGCCAGCCTTTCCTTTTGGCTGTTAATGCCTTTTGGTTCCCCACCTTTCAGGATGAGTGCCAAGTACCAGCTCCCAGAGAGCATCTTTTGCTGGGCGCTGGTCACACTCTGATCAGATTATGCAGCAGAAATTAAACTGAATGAATTTTATTAATATAGGTAATAAAATCCTGGAGCATTATGGGTGTTATGCTTATCAGTCATCTGAAATTTCCAGCCTTAAAAAGCGTGAGAAGTTTTGCCTTTTTTTCTGTGTCATCAAAAACCTACAAAGCAAGTATTTTTTTGTGGGGCTATTTACAGAATATCGTGGGCTGTTTTGTAGGAGATTTCAAGCCAACTGTCTTGATATTTTTAATTTACAGAACAATGTACAGAATCCCATGATTAAATTAATTTACTACTACTTTTTTAAACACCAATATTGCAGTTTGCTAGTTCTGCATCACAGGCTATAGAGAGCTGGCCTCTATTTATAACCATGTGGCTGAGGAGAGTTACCTTTCTCGTGAAGAAGCTTCCCAAACCTTCAGGTTATCATTATTACAGTGAAGTAAACTGCATAGTGAACCTGGGGGCTTTTCCCACCCCCTCAGGGGTGGAAGGTGAAGGTTATATGACTGTAATTATCCACACCACACAAAACCAGGAAATAAAGTGGGAGATCAAGCACAGCATCTAGTCAGAGCAAAGTTTCTACTGACCAAAACTGACAGAGATGGTATCCCAGGTCTTGCTCCTTCCCACATGATATTCTCAGAGCCCCAAGAGAGACAAAGTGCCAGGTTGGAAGCAACAGAGGAAGAAAAGGGAATGTGGGGGATAGTCCCTGCCATACAGGATGCTGCTGCTTTGCAGAAAGGGGAAGGTTAGGTGCTATTGACTACAGATGGGATTTTTACCTCAAGAAAAACTTACTTTCCTCCAAAATGAAATCGGGGTTCCCAGAATAAATAGAATAACAAAGCCCATGATTTTCCACTTTCCTTGTTGGTATGTTCCTCATGTGAAACAAAGAGCACACATTGTGAGGGAAAATAGCTCTTCCTTTGTTCCATGGAGAAATGCAGTAACCTTCCATAGATAAACAATTGAGCAAAAGTCTGTGAAGGGGCAGGAAGGGGGGGGGGGAAGATTATTTACAGATAAAAGACATTTTCTCATAAATGAGCAGGGTTCAGCTCTAACTCAAGGGCCTCAGTAACCAGTTCAGAAAAGGTTTCTTAACAGCAACTGTTCAAATGCAGTTTACCATGTATCTCCTATTGGCTCCTATTGGCTTTCAGCTTAGAAGGGTAGCATTTCTGTAGAAATGCCTTATGTGCTCCACATATTGTCAGTATAAGCAATGAAATTTTAATATAAAGTGCTTGGTGGTGCTGCTGCTAAAAGTGTAGCTATAAACCATTTGGTTTCTAATAATCCCCAGGACACACTGTGAGGAGTATGGAGTTACTAACAAACTGCTTCCTCTGGCCTGTGTTGAAAACCCTGAAGGAGTTCTGTTTATCTGCACCACCTAGATTTGAAGATCAAGGTTTTTACTCAGCCCTGGAAGATGCAGCCATCTTCAAAAGGCCTTGATCTTGCTGCTGCACTCGTGTGGCAGGTGGGATGACCTCTTGCTCTTTGTGGCTGCCTGTGAAATCCAAGGGGCTGTTTTAGCATTTACTTCACTTTCCTTGCCTGTTCCTGGGTCACAACATGAAGAGGTAAAGCAACTCTTGCTGATCTCCCCACCATCAGAACGGTTTAGTGTTTTTATTTGTTTATTTTTGCTTCCTTGTGATATATAAAGGCAACCTGGAAAATTAACTCTGCTCCTATATAAACTGTTCTATTTGCACCTGGACCGGGTTGCTCCAAGCCCCACCCAGCCTGGTCTCGAACACTTCCAGGGCTGGGGAGTCATAACCACTGTGGATAACCTGTTCCAATGCCTCACCAC